CCCTTCCCCCCCAAAAAAAATCCCTCTATAAATTCCCCTAACCTAACAAATTTACAAGGTATCTTTATTTTTATTTACTTGATTTTTTCAGACAGGGTCTTGCTATGCTGCTTAGGCTGGCCTTGAACTCCTGGACTGAAGTGATCCTCCCACCTCAGTTTCTCAAGCAGTTGGAACTACAGGCACATGGCACCATGCCTAGCTTTTCCTTGTATTTGTTTTGTTTTATTTCACATTTTTTTTTTTTTTTGCCATAGTGGAGCTCTAACCCAGGGCCTCTTGGAAACTAGGTAAGCCTACTGGGACTCGGGGGTGCAGCTCAAGTGGTAGTATGAGACCCTGATTTCAAACTCCAGTACTACCAGAAAAAAAAAAAAGGACTACACTGAGCATGCTGGTGCACGCCTGTAATCCCAGCCTGGGCTACATAGAATGATGATGATGCTAATAAAGATGGAGGAGGAAGAAGAGGAGGAGGAAAATAAGAGCCTTTAAAGAGGTGAAAAGGACACAAGGGCTCTGTCCTCATGAATAGGTTAATGCTACCATTGCAAGCCAGGCACCAATGGCTCACGTCTGTAATCCTAGCTACTTGGGAGGCTGAGATCTGGAGGATCAAGGATCAAGGCCAGCACAGGCAAATAGTTCACAAGACTCCCATCTCCAAAATAACCAGAACAAAAATGGACAGGAGCTGTAGCTCAAGCAGTAGAACCCCAGTCTCTCTCTCTCTCTGTCTCTCACACACACAAACTGAACAATTTGTACACTTAAAATCTGTGCATTGTATGAAAACTATATCTGAATAAATTTGATATAAAAAAAATGCTGCTGTTGCAGGAGCAGGTTACCTGGGAGTCCTCTCCCCTCTCTCACCACCTCCCCTTCTTGCTTCATCCTGCTCTTACTCTTCACCTTCTGCCTTGAGACAACACAGCAAGAAGGTCCTCATCATATGCCAGAACCTCCCATCCTCCAGAACTGTCAGGAAATAAATTTCTGTTCTTTATAAATGACCCCATCTGTACTATTCTGATAGAGGGCCCCAACAGAGACTAAGCCAGGCATTAGAAACACAACAGACATCAAGGCGGTATAAGATCCTACCCTAGCTCACATTCCAGTAACAATTGTTACAGCTGAGATCATTGCTGTGATGGAATACAAGACGGAGAACTCACAGAGTTCCAGGGAAATGGAGCTACTTTAGACGTAAGGAGAGGGTGCGAAGGCGCCCTGAGCTGGGTCCCATATTCATTGTGGATGGTCATTTGTGCATTTGACTATTTTCCATGTGATTTTCCTGGTCTCATCTTTTCTTTCCAATGTCACCTCTCTCTAATATCTGTGTGAACTTAGGCCGATGTTTGAGAACTGTCACAAAGTCACACAAAGCGATCTGAGAGCAGGTTAATGCAAAAATTCAATATTATAGTTTAGTAAACGAAAGTTGCGATTTTCCCAAGCAAGTAATATTCATACATTCATTCCACAAGTACTGAACACCACCAGCCACCATGCAAGACTCTGAAAATAGTAAGATAAATAAAACATGGTCACACCTCCAGGCTCCAAGCAATGAACAATTAACATTAGGCTAGACCACGAGAAGTTACCAGTAACTGCTCACTTTAACTACAAATCAGCAATCTTATATGGCTCCACAAAGGGTTACAAAATTGTAGACACATGTGACTATGGGACAGTCCCAGCACTGTCATGAGGAGTGAGGAAAGGAGGTAAAGGAAAGCTCCTAAGAAACCTAAGTGGATCCTTTTCTGTTATGAACTGGTGTAAGTGCATAGGAAACTTTGGAGAGTGCCCTGATTCTCAGCATTCAATACCCAGCTCTGTCAGGACTTCCACAATTTCCTGCTGTGTTATAAATGAGAAAGTAGCTCAGAGGTAGAGCACATCCCCAGTGTGTGCAAAGCCCCAGGTTCAATATCCAGCACCAGGAAAAAAATTAAAACATCACAGCCAGGTGCCGGTGGCTGACGTCTGTAATCCTAGCTACTCAGGAGGCGGAGATCAGGAGGATTGAGGTTTGAAGCCAGCCTGAGCAAATAATTTGAAAGACTCCATCTTGAAAAAATCCTTTACAAAAAATAGGGCTGGTGTGGTGGCTCAAGATGTAGGCCCCAAGTTCAAGCCCCAGTACCATAAAAAAAAAAAAAAAAAAGATCTGAAGGGGCAGCTACTATGTGACCTCTTTAAGGACAAAAATAAGCTGCAGGAGTCTGCAGGATTCCTAAGGCCCAAAAATGCCTAAAATACTTTTTAAAAAAATCTGAATCTATTTTGGATTTAGCTAGTATTATATAGGTTCCTGTATTGCTAGCCTACTAAATACATCATCTGTACTGTATTTTCTTTCTTTTTTTTTTTTTAAGTGCTGGAGTTTGAACTCAGGGCCTAACACCTGGCTCACCTGGCTGTTGAGCCACCCCACCAGCCATTTATTTTGTGAAGGGTTTTTCAAGATAGGATCTCTCAAATTATTTGTCCAGACTGGCTTCGAACCTCAATCCTCCTGATCTCTGCCTCCTGAGTAGCGAGGATCACAGGTGTGAACCACTGGTGCTTGGCTGTACCACACGTTCTTTATTTTGTGTTTTACTGTCTTGGTGCTTAGTGTACCACAGTGTGTCACTTCCTAGTGATAGATGGCATATTCCGACGTTTGTCCACAATCACTGAGCTCTGCAGTAAATCACTGTATGCACAGACACTGAGATTGGCATGCATACTAGAAAATCTGTGGAATAAATTTCTAGCAATAGAATGATATAATGAAATGTAACAGAATTCTATAATTCTATAATTATAGAACAAGATAAGGGAATAGATTCTGCCAAAATAAAAAATCACAAAGTTGGTATACCTATTTTCTACCTCCTTATCAGACCTGTTGGCATGTGGCTTTAATAGATGAGAAATTTTAATCTGTGCCCTATCACATGCAAAATTTAAATACCTTTCCCTATGGTTTTTTTTCCTTTTCTGATTTTTTATTTCTTTTTTGTTATTGGTTGTGCTAGGTGGGGGTAGATTATAGCCTTTTCCTATGTTTAAGTGCCATTCCTATATCTTTTTCCTATGAAATATCACTTGAATTTCTATTTTTTTTACTTGAATATTAAAGTCTTTATTGCTTGGAAGGAGCTTTTTACATATTAATTAAGTTACTCTGCAGTGAGCAGCAAATGTTTTGATTCTGTTCATGCAAGCAAGATTGTTGTGTGGTCTCACTCATCAGTCCTGAGTTCATGTATGAATGTGCATGATTTTGGAGTTTAGTGTCAGAAACGCCTTTCCCACTTTCCTTCTAATGTATAAATATATATATATATATATATATATATTTTCTTTCAGCACTGGGTTTGAACTTGGGGCTTACACCTTGAGCCACTCTACCAGTTCTATTTTTGTGATGGGCATTTTTGAGATAGGGTCTCGTGAACTATTTGCCCAGGCTGGTTTCGAACCAACAATCCTCCTGATCTCTGCTTCCTGAGTAGTGAGGATTACAGATGCCAGGCTTATTCTAACATGTAGCACTTGTTTTTTTTTATGTTTGAGTTTCTGATCACTGGGGATTTATTGTGGAATGAAGTTGCAGCATTTATCTTTTCTGAATGGTTATCAGTTTTCTTAGGATCACTTAATAATTTTTAAATCACTAATTTGAAATACTCCCTTCATCTTGCACCAAATTCCCAAATGTATTTATGGGCAGTTGTGTGTCTATTTGTGACTTTTCTAGTCATTTTCCTTAAACTGTCTACCTACACATCAATTTCATGCTGTTTTACTTATTGAGGTTTTAGGCTGTTTTTTAACATTTGGCAGGTTTTGCCCTTCTTAGCACTAGTTACTTCCAGAATTTTCTTAGGCATTAATTTTTGTTTAAATCTAAAGGGAAATTTCAGGCCTAAAAGAGAAACCATGGAGCTGGCACTGGTGGCTCATGCCTGTAATCCTAGCTACTGAGGGGCAGAGGATCGAGGTTCAAGCCAGCCCCAGCAAGTAGTTCACAAGACCCTATCTCGAAAATACCTATCACAAAAATAGAACTGGTGGAGTGGCTCAAGTGGTACAGCAAGCATATAGGCCCTGAGTTCAAGGTCCAGTACTGCCAAAAACAAAAAAGAAAAAGAAAAAAATGATAGGACTTTACACACAAAATATTCATATGTATGTGTATGTATATATATATATATGTTATATATATATATATATATATATACACATTATCTACACACATTTATATACACACTTTTTTTTTGGTGATACTGGGGTTTGAACTCGGGCTTCATGATTGCTAAGAAGTTCTCTATTACTTGAGCCACACCACAGTCCTTTTTTTGTTTTAGTTATTTCTCAGATAGGGTCTCAAATTTTGCCTGGGGGCTGACCTCAGATGACAACCCTACCTATGGCTTCCCACATGGCTAGGATTATAAGCATACACACAAACACCAAGCTTATTGTTTGAGATGGAATCTCACCACTTTTTGCCTGGGCTGGCCTTGAACCACTGATCCTTTTGATCTCCACTCCTGGCTAGTTGGGATTATAGCTGGTCACCACCTTACTGGCTGGGAGCCATGAGTACCACCATATCTATGTATAGATAGGTGAAGCCCTGAAGTTTCTCTCACTAAGAGAGACCATGAAAAGGAAGACAAATGGGACAGGAAGCTCAAAGCAACAGACCCAGCAAGTGTCATGTCTTAGAAGATAGTCCATGATCTTCTAAGCAAGTTAACATCTATCTAAACAAGTTAA